TGGGCCAAGGCGTTCTTAAGCGTGTCGTGGTGCCCGAGTCTCACAGCAGCTCTGACTTCAAGGTCGCGGATGCCGTCGATGAATGTCTGAACCAGGTTCCCTTCAATGAGCGCAGGTACAGACTGGTCATGCTTTTCGAACCATCAATCACCATAGATAAATAAATATGTAGCAAGCTACGAATCACCAGTATAGCGTCGATTCATGACGTCATTTGCATTGGACAGTACACTGCGTTGTATTTGGGAACATTCCCTGTATCTAGTGACGTGAAATAACGCCCACGTCTACTCTTTGGTATTAGTATAGATCAAAGCGGATCAAAGATTATAATATACGGAAAGTGTAGATTTTGGTATAGATAAATAAATAAATGACGGGGGTGGTGTGTTTTTTTTGAGTAGCGATTACATTTAAATTTAAACAGAGAACTATAAAAATCGATAACAATATCATTGAATTGGATTTGTTCGTGCTTCTTAGATGAGTGTGAGATAAAATAAAAATAATCAGTTACAGGTACGTAACGTTATATTTTAGACTCGACGATCTCCCGAAAAAGCCGATTCCGAAAAGGATTTAGCACAATAGACCACATACATACCCTTCGGCAAATTGTACAAAAGTCCGAAGAGTATAATGTGTCACTTTGTCTTTCGTATGTGGACTTTGATTCCGTCGAAATTTGCCTTCATCGGTGCCAAGTTGATTGTCGGTATATCGAAGTGCTGAAGTGTTTTTATAGTAGGGGTACGATGGCTATCCGGTTCCAGAACCAGAGTACAAAACCTATCCAACTGCACAAAGTCGTAAGGCAGCAATAAGTTCGAAGAAGAAGACAAGTATGATTACCTGGCACAAGTAGGACTAGGTATGTCCAACTTCGACCAAGATGTCAATCGACGGATTTAACTCGGCTAGGCAGCGTTCAGGCAATTACAACAATTTTGTCAGGCATACCTCAAAACTAAATTGTACAACCATTGCATGTTGCCAGTGATGACATATGGATCCGAGACTTAAGAGCTCAAGGTTGCTCAGCGAGCTTTGGAGAGGACATTCGGAGCTTCATTGCATGATAAACTTATGAATGAGTATATCCACAGTAGAACCAGAGTGACAAACATAGCCCAATATATTAGTTAGCTGAAGCGGCAATGGGCCGGCCATATAGCTTGAAGAACTGATAACCGATTGATAGAATCAGGCGTTACTTTGCGGAAATCCATTATAATAAAAAATAAAAATATAAATTTCTTTGCAACTTTCCGCTAAACATATAAAATGATGTGTTTTACCTGGATTGAAGCGCACCTCCCGCCCTCCCTCAATTGCATACACTAACTCCGTCACCACTAGACCAAGCACCACTACTCTCAACACCACTATTCCAGGCAAGACACACCATCGACGATAATACGACACGTGTTTCGCCTCTACACGAGGCATCTTCAGGTAATATAGACTCTACGGCGGCTGACCGCTGATGTATCGTCGATGGTGTGTCTTGCCTGGAATAGTGGTGTTGAGAGTAGTGGTGCTTGGTCTAGTGGTGACGGAGTTAGTGTATGAAATTGAGGGAGGGCGGGAGGTGCGCTTCAATCCAGGTAAGACACATCATTTTATATGTTTAGCGGAAAGTTGCAAAGAAATTTATATTTTTATTTTTTATTAGAACTGATAACTGATAGAGAAAAACATTCTCGTGTGGCAGCCTTATGCCAGACCAGCAGGTGAAGTGTAGGGCGTCCCCCCACTAGATGGAGTGATATCCTGGTGCACAAAGTCGATGGATGCAGGTGGCTCATTACCGTGCTTTGTGGCATTCGTTGGGGGAGGCATATGTTCAGCAGTAGATTTATTAAGGGCTGTAATGACGATGAATGATGAATGTTGTATTTTATAAAATACTGCTATTATAAAAATAATTACCAATACATAAGTGAAGTACGGCCATACCCTATACCCTATAGTTTTTAGTAGTTATTATTTTTTATCCCTATTTTTAAGGTATATAAAAAAAATAAGTTACTTAGTTAGTTAGTCTTAGTTATCATTTATATGATAACTTATCTATTTGTATATCTAAATCTAATAAGGTGAGAACTGATAAGATAAGAACTTAATTTATTAATGTGTTTGTTTGTAATCTTTTTATTCATAAATCCCAATAATCTTTGTGTAATGCACATTTTATTGCTATATGTTTCTGTTATGTAATGTTTTTTCTTTCATATTTTCATGTAAATTAAATTTCATAATGATTTATCAATATGGTTAGTTAGTTTGTTTACGCCGTTGAGCCATGATATTTTCCTGAAAAAGTTCAACAGTCCTTTGATGTTGCAAGCAACTTCGGGGAGCGATCCCAGCGTGTCGAGATGTTTAGCCCTGTATGAAGCGACTTCTGGACATGTCAGCAACACGTGAGCCGCCGTTTCTTCCTCTCCCATGCATGCCCTGCACAGGGGGTTGTTAAAAGAGTCATGTCCGGTGATAGCACTTGTTACTAACCTGATCTGTGGCTTGTTCAGTCTCAATAGAACCTTGGTTGGACGACTGTTTATTTCAGGCAGGGCCTCCCTAGTTTGTCTACAGTCTACAAAATTTTTCCAAAGCTGAGCGTGTAAATTATGTGTACTACGTACCAGTGAATGAACATAGCCAAAGGGGATTGGTATTATTGGTTCCGGCCATGTAGTTGCTAGAGCCGATCCCCTTCTGGCCAGTTAATCTGCTGCATCGTTGCCTCTAGATCCACTGTGCCCCTTGATCCATTGCAGAGTCACATTGTTGTGCTTACATACCTCATTCAATCGTTGATGGCACTCGTATATCAGTCCCGAGTTCGTCACATTGCAACTCAGAGCTTGTAGTACCGCCATACTGTCGGTCAGTATTCTGATAGAGAAGTCTCACCTTCCTAGCATCTATTGCTATAGCCGCTTGGATAATACCCATGCATTCAGCCTGGAAGACTGTGTTGTGGGTACCCAGCGGTGTGCAAACGTGGATATTAAGGTCTTCAGAGAAAGCCCCAGACCCCACATCTTCATTTGTCTTAGAACCATCCGTGAAAACTTTGAGCTCTCTTTGACCCGACCTTTCCAGATGGTCAGTTTCCTTCAATTGTATCCTGTACTTCTTATCAAATACAAATTATTTTGGGATCCTATCATACTTTGCTTGTAATATAGGAATTTTTCAGTAAACTCTATCAATTATATCTGTGTGGGGGTTCTACTCTTACTTGAAAGATTTATCAAAATGGTACAAATTCTATTCAAAGATAGTGTTATCTATGATTGATTGTATGGGCTAAACAGTTTTGGGGGCATTAGTTTTAGCAGATCCAGTGTTTTATTGTATACTTTTAATATTATGGTGCTTGCACCACTCATTGACTAATGTACAAACGATGAACCCATGTAATAGTAGTATTTTCCGTATTTTTATTTTAAATAATGAATGAGGAAAGAGTGACAAAGCAAATTTATGTTGCAGAAGTGAATAGCAGAGTCGGAAAGGGACATCCTAGGCGAAAGTTTATGTATGTGTATATAAGTAGCATGTATGTGTAGGTATATGGATGGAGAGAGGTGTGTCAGGATCATGCCAAATGGAAGTCTGTTGTCTCTGCCTACCCCCCTGGGTGACGCATGAGTGTTTATGTTGTAGTATTTTATGTAACTCCATATCTGCGAATGGGTAGGAATATAGAGATTATACAAACTAAGAAATCGCCTTGAAGACTTTCAATAGTCCCTTGATGTTGCCAACAACTTTGGGGACATTTTGCCATGCCAAGATGTTTAGCCCTGTATGCAGCAACCTCTGGACATGCCAGCAACACATGGGCTACTATGTTTTCCTCCCCCATACATGGCCCTGCACAGTGAAATTTCTGTTACATCTATGGTAGTTTAGTTTAGTTTACGACGAGCTGTTTTCCGCAACTCCACGTCTAAGCGCGTATTTTGCGTGTGGGCAAAATTATGTAGTTATTTGAGCCATGATATCTATGGTAAATAAATGTTTGTTAAAAGAGGCATGTCTTGTGATAGCACTTGTTGCTATCCTGATCTGTGTTTTGTTTAGTCTCATTTAAACCTTGGTTCAGTTGTTTAACCAAGGTTTTAATGCTAGCAGGACCTACCTACTTTGCCTACGGTTTTCTAGATTTTCCATAAAGCTGAGCGCTGAGTTGATTGGTATAATGCTTATGTACGAGTGAATGAAAGTTCCCAAAGAGAATCTGTATGATTAGTTCTTGTCATATGACAACCAGAGTTCATCCTCCCTTGACCAGTTCGTCTGCTGCTTCTTTACCCTTGGATCCATTGTAGTCTCATTGTTGTATTGAGGTATGTATCAAGTCATTGATGTCACTCATATATTAGTCCCGAGTTTATCCTATTGTAACTCATAGCCTATAGAACTCCCATGCTGGGAGTTCTATAGGCTGTGTAAGAATATCCGCCACCCCATATTATCCTGTGGGTGTTGTATGAGGTGACGGAGGGAAATAAATATGGAGATGAGCAGCAGCAATGTAATTGCCAAGTGTGGCAACTATGGCAACTGGCCCTGTGAGGCAATCTCTGAGAGAGGCCTATGTTCAGCAGTGGACTTTAAAAGGCCTTAACGGCATCTTATATCAATTAATATATAAGGTAGTCGCTGTCTGGCCCTGCTTCTCTAAAACAAGTAGCTTAAACTAACTATTAGACCCATAATTCTGTGCTACTTGCTATATACATAAGTCGTTATGTGGCGGGAGAGTGAGCACATAACATTATCATGTGGCTTGCCGTGGTTGTTATAAGAGGCGACAGAGGAAAATGAAATGGAAGATGGGCAGCAGTGTCTTCCAGATATCTCAAAAATAATGAGAAAACCGCAGTTGACAAGCCGCCTGCCAAATGTGACAACCATGTCAAATGGGTTAAGTTTAAAAAATTAATTAATTTTTCTTTTTTTTTAGTTGAAATAAGAAAAAGATGTTGGACCTAAGAGGCAATAATTTGCCTAAAAGGCAGAGAGAGTTGAACTATAAAGTGAAAGAAGCAATAGAAAAGAAAGTTGCCTTTGATATTATAAAAGATAAAAATGAGGAAACTGATGTAGACAAACTGTTTAAAATAGACTTGGCTTCAAATTATCGTAATATTGATTACATTATCGAGATTTTGAAATCGGGTGACAGCTTATGCATTTCAAGGGCACTGAAATGTGTATGGTTATACGAAGATGTAAATTCAAACATTATTAATACAGATTATCTCAATGACAATATTTTTCCTTACATGTCTCTCAAAATGAAGAAAAAGATGCTAACAGCAGTATCTATACATATGAAAAATGAAGAAAGAATGATATCTTTCTATAACTACTGCATTAAAGAAAAATTGACAAATATTGCTTCAAAATTTTTACTTCTTACTTCGGAGTCCTTTAAACTGGATGCCATTAAAAATGGTGTAAATTTTAATACTATTATAAATGAAGAAACAGAATATGTAAAGCATTTTTTTGGAAATTCGTTTACTCTCTTGGAAGCCTATTTGCAGACTCTTAATAAATGGAATATTGGACCATTTTTACTTAAAGTGAGGTATTTTTATTCAGTATCAGATGTTAAATATTTAGATCTGCTAGAAAGTTATGTGAAAGTTGAAACCAAAATGAAACCAGAAGCTCTTGGCTTGAGAATATCGAAAAGTATCATGAAGAAACATAAAGATAGAGTTTTAAATAAACCATTGCTATATTTATACATACTCAATCAAAAACTGCTCATAAAATATAGTAGTGTCCAAGATGCTAAATTATTTGCCATCGCTTTGTTGCCCTCTTCAGCGTCAGTATTTTGGTTTGAGAATTATCGTCGTACTAATAAATACATTCTTGATATAATTCCTAAGAACGAGTTGTATGCTTTTTTAAAAAATATTTTTACAGATGCATATCCCAATGAGGAATTTGAAATGAGTGTTAATTTTTATAATTACGGTTTTTATGAAATGTTAACAGTTGAAGAGAAAGAGCAATGGGCTTTACACCATATTGAAAATCAACAAGAAATACTTGGACATGGAGAAGATTACAAGTGGTATAAGTTTGTCAATTTTGATAAAGCACTAGAAGGTATTAAGCGGTATATAATGGTAACTACTGATATGGCAAAAAGGGGGGAGATCATTAACATCTTAGTAGAATCAGCCAAAACACAACGTGATCTAGAGAAATTGCTCAAATACTTTTATGAGAGGCATGTCAATGAAAACCCATCTCTTAAAGAACAATTTTTGAACACAATTATACAGAATCACAATGTGTTTGAGTTTGAAGAAGATTGCTGGAATGCATTTAATAAGATCCTATACAGTATGGATATCTATAGCCCATCAGGGTACTTTTATATGACAGACTTTGGCTTAATTGTTGCAATTTATAGTATTGTCAATCAGAAACCTGTTCCTGAACAATTAAAAGATGTTTTTTATTCAAGGTTTAATTATTTGTATACAGATAAATTAACAGAAGAAAAACGTAAAATGCTTTATGACTACCTTTTAAAGTTGTACATTAAAAAAGTAGAAGAATTTGAAGATAAAAATTACGATGATGATGTGAAGCGAAGTGTTAGACGATATATTTATATGGTTTTGTGTGTAATGGAAATTTTTGAAAAATCTAAGAAAGATTGTCCAGAACTTATAATGAAGTACGTAAAAATGGATTGGCAAGAGTTTCAAAATCACCGTTTATTTAAAAAGAAGGTAGAAATCAAAGATATACAAGAGTATGATTTGATTCAATTATTAAAGAAAGATGCAATATTACTTAATGCAAAATTCAATGATTTAAAGAGTACTATGAATAGAAGCTTTACATTTAGATTAAATCAACTCATGAGAAAATTGAAAATTTACTTCTCAAAAGATATAGCCAAAGAGTTTCTCAGTTTCTTTACTAATTTATTATCAGATCCAAAAATTGGTTATCTATCTATTTATACTTCTGTGTATTGTATTGTTCAATTGGCTGATGAGAAATTCATCGTAGAATTCATGTGCAAATACGCACCTCTTGAACCAAAAATAGACCACCAAAACATTGATAGGAATTTATTATATATTCGCGAAGCCATTTGCCGTTTTTCATGTTATTCACGACCACCGGTTCCACTTTCAAATGTTCTGATGTACTTAAAGGGTGACTATGTGCATTACTGTCTACCAATGTTTAATCATTACTTCGCACATCTGCCACGTCCACTATCATTGAAGTTTGTTGAAGTGGTCTTAAATGCTCCATTATCCATACAAAAACACGGTTTGCGTCTGGCCTTCAAATCTTACAGTGCTGGAGACTTGAAAAAACTTGTTTTGTCAGTTTGGAAGAAAACAAAAAATGTTTCTCTAAGATTAATTCTATATAAATGTCTCTTTCAAAAGATATTGAATGAAGAGGAAGTATCACAAAAGGAGTTATATAAAGCATTGAAAGTGCTTACATCAGAACTACGCGATGATGACCATAATGATATTTTTGATTTAATATTATCAGACCAATTGCCTAAGAGTTTTAGAGGAGATTATTTAGAGACTGCTTGGACGTTAGTCAGCAAGTTAAGGGAGAAAGGCGTAAATATAGAACGTCAAGCTAAAGTTTTGCGTAATATTAAAACAAATATAACCCTAATGGACAGAGATTTCTTAATGGAATACATTGTTAAGCCACATATTCACGAAATGTTGATTGAAAAAAAAATCAGACCAAGTTACAAAAGTCGTGAAATTAGTGAAAGAGTTAAAACAAAATGGGAGTTAGTTGCAAAATTTATAGTGACTATTGAAAACGAGGAAACAAGTAAGACAAGTATAGACTTGGTGACATCCATCATTAAGACCTGTGCTGAAATGTGGGACGAAGTACACGATGAAAGGTACACTATTAGATTGTTTTGTACAAATTTCATATCCAGTTTAAGAGCAAACAGTAACGCATTCTTTCAAAATTTCAAGTATGTGAATTGTATATTTGAGAGAGTGCTGTTTACAATTTTGGAAGTGTTGCCATCTCAAGAAATATATTTAACGATTTGGGATCTGTGGTTGGTGATTATCACAAGAAAGGTATGTTCAAAAATGGAATGTGATGAGAATGGGCTATTTAAAAATATTGAATATGACAAAATTTGCGATGACTATGCCAATGAAATTGGAGATCTTATTGTTGATTTGGTTAATAAAGAGCAGTTTTATAGAAGCTTTTTGCCACATATAGCTCAGGTGGTAAACAACCATATTTCAGTTTTCTCATGCGCTATAAAAGAGTGTGCAGATATGGTCCGTATCACAATTTGCAATAATTTGACACATTTTAAACTGCCTGAAATATATTTATTGGTACTGATGTTGCTGCCTACAGATTGCCCACATGCCTATTTCGACACCTGTAAGGACACGTTACAAAAGATCAAAGAGATAGATAACAATGAAATCCAAAGCTATTTGTATCAAAAGTTTCTTCGTGAAGATTTTAAAAGAAGAAAGTTTGTGTAAATTTAAAAAAAGCAGCTACACTCTGTATAGTAGTCTATAGTAAAAATATATAAAAATTTATATGTTTATTTAGCAACTGAAATATTTTTTAATATTTTTTTATTACATGCATTTAATTTTGTATAAACCATTTTAATTTATATAAAATTAGCTTTAAGACGAGGCATGACGCTAAATGCAAGTTTTATAATGCCTCAAAGTATATGATCCACTGCAGTAAACACACCCAGAAAAATATATGATATTGTCCAGGATATATGCTAGTTAGATAGTGTGTTGAAAACATGATACCACTAATTTAATACGACAGAAATAAATCACAAACATACCTCTAAAAATTTCTTTTAAGCAGTGAAAACTATACTAGCATACATGCAACCATTCTGATTTTTTGTCAGATTTTTATACATTCAACATATTAACGTTATAGTGTTTTAATTTTTTAGTCCACCTATTAGTTTTTTTTTTAAATAGCATTTTCTTATTTCTGAAATAATACGTACGGATGTTTGCGTAAACGCCTGTGCAGAGTCACTGTCGGCCGAGGCCTGGTGCTGTAGAGACGTGTCGCTCTTTTTGCCGCAGTATTTACGTTAAGTTTTTTTAAGGACGCGTTTACAAAATTCATGTAGGTATAGAATCGAACTATTACATTGACACGTGACACGCACACAAGTGTACGCACGGTTGGCTGCGGGAATCGTAGTCAAGTAAAATTATTTTGATAATTTGAAAGATCGAATTTGTTCTTGATTTCTTATACCTCAAAAATATACTTAGATACATAGAGTAATTAGCTTTAGATACGAAATACGAATACTTACTCTAGAGACTGCTTGGCACTGGGAGCCCTCTACTGGCAGTGAGATGTTAGCTGTGAACTTTAGGCTGGTTTTGTCAGTTATGATAAGACCTTACCTCCGGACTTGATGGAGTGACCTGTAGGTGAACTTCAGTAACTAATACTAGAACACCTGGACTAGTAGAACTAAGTGTGCCGAGTTCGGGCTCGTTTTGCTAGTTATGATGAGTATTTACCTCCGGACTTACGGAGTGACCTGAAGATGTACTTTGGTAGTCGCTGTTGGATCCGGTCCCCGAGTACTAGTAAGTGTGCCGAGTTTGGGCTCGTTTTGTTAGATATGATGAGTTCTTACCTCCGGACTTGACGGAGTGACCTGAAGGTGTACTTTGGTAATCGGTATTGGAACTGGTCGCCGAGTATTACCAGGTGTGCCGAGTTTGGGCTTTTGTTAGGTATGATGAGTTCTTACCTCTGGACTTGACGGAGTGACCTGAATGTGTACTTTTGTAATCGCTGTTGGAACCGGTCCCCGAGTACTACTAGGTGTGCCGAGTTTGGGCTCGTTTTGTAAGATATGATGAGTTCTTACCTCCGGACTTGACGGAGTGACCTAAAGGTGTATTTTAGTAATAGCTATTAAAACGAGCCCAAACTTGGCACAACTAGTAGTACTCGGCGACCAGTTCCAATATCGACTACTAAAATACACCTTTAGGTCACTCCGTCAAGTCCGGAGGTAAGAACTCATCATATCTTATAAAACGAGCCCAAACTCGGCACACTTGCTAGTTTGGGAGTACTCGGGGACCGGTTCCAACAGCGATTACAAAGGTACACATTCAGGTCACTCCGTCAAGTCCAGAAGTAAGAACTCATCATACCTAACAAAACGAGCCCAAACTCGGCATACCTAGTAGTACTCGGCGACCAGTTCCAATATCGATTACCAAAGTACACCTTCAGGTCACTCCGTCAAGTCCGGAGGTAAGGACTAAGGACTCATCATACCTAACAAAATGAGCCCAAACTTGGCACTTACCTAGTAGTATTTGGCGACCGGTCCCAATAGCGATTACCAAAATACACCTTTAGGTCACTTCGTCAAGTCCGGAGGTAAGGACTCATCATATCTAACAAAACGAGCCCAAACACGGCACTTATAGTAGTACTCGGGGACCGGTCCCAATAGCGCTTACCAAAGTACACCTTCAGGTCACTCCGTCAAGTCCGGAGGTAAATACTCATCATACCTAGCAAAACGAGCCCAAACTCGGCACATTTAGTTCTACTAGTCCAGGTGTTCTAGTATTAGTTACTGAAGTTCACCTACAGGTCACTCCATCAAGTCCGGAGGTAAGGACTCATCGTACCTAATAAAATGAGCCCAAACTCGGCGCACCTAGTAGTACTCGGGGACCAGTTCCAACAGCGATTACCAAAGTACACATTCAGGTCACTCCGTCAAGTCCGGAGGTAAGAACTCATCATACCTAACAAAACGAGCCCAAACTCGGCACACCTAGTAGTACTCTGCGACCAGTTCCAATAGTGATTACTAAAGTACACCTTCAGATCACTCCGTCAAATCCGGACGTAAGGTAATACAAAACAGTAAAATAAATTTGAATTTTCAAGTGGTTTTATTTGAAACTATTCTTTATCTCTTATTTTAGCTATTTTGCCAACGAAACTTGGGGTTTTTTAGAATTTGTGAGTTGACGTTTTAAATGTATATGTATGTAAATAGTTGACTAAGTACTTGCTCATATAATAAAACTGACTTTAAAAAATATTGATAAATAAAATGTAGTATGATGTCCAGACTCCAGACCTTGTAAACAGTTTTGATATTAGTGAGTAGGTACTCAAAACATTATTTCTATAATACCTAGTAATAGTAGTAGTAGTGTTGCGATCAGGAGACCTCACGGAAAGTTTTTGTTTGGAGGTGAATTGTCTGCTTGCTTTGCGCATACTGTATTCACGCTGCGCTCTCCGACTGCCGGTTTCGCTCCGCTCACTGCAGAACGCGCGGGTGAAAAACGAATTTGAAATCGTGCTAAGACCTCGTCTTAATTACATTGTAAAAACGATGGGCATATAAATTACCATTTTACAATCTATCGTGTATCATAAACCCCAACTTTTTATGAACTTAAGTTACATTATACAGATATTATATAAAAAGTATGCTTGCTTTATTTAGTAATACAAATATATTGATAGTATGTATCTACTAAATAATAAGAATAAGAAATGTAATCCAACATAGCTTTATAGATATCTTAACAGCTTCTATCACGAAATCTCATGTTTGAGAAGATGGCAACAACCTGATTCAAGCCTAGCCTTGGTAATAAAGGATGTTCTAATATATTTGATGAAGCACTAGGAGGCCTTAGACGGTACATAGTTAAGAAGCATTTTCGATTGTTAGAGAAGTTGAACACGATCGGCGTAGTATTTTTACATAGCAATTGAATAAAGTCAATAAGAATTTTTGTTGCATTTTAATAACATTTACACCTAATATACCAAGCCTACGTTATCATCATTATCACATGGCCACTGCTGAACATAGCCGTCCCCATAGATTATCACAAAGTACAGTTTCGAGCCACCTGCATCTATCGACTGTTGGTTACATCAAGTCTGCACTTTATTAAGTGGGGGTCGCCAAACACTTGTACGAGGCTGTAACTTGAGAATCTTTCTTCCCTGTTGGTTAGCTTGTTTGTTACCTTAATATTGTTGCGCGCTATAATTAGCACCTGGTATGAAGCGGCTGTTTATTAGCGCGATCTGATATCGAGCAGTAGAAATAGGAGCGTCAAGATCTTTCTAGAACTCTCCCACTAGCGCCATCTAGTATCTGTGGCGCAACTCGCTTTACTGAGACCTACGCAAATCCGCTACGCGCATGAAGATTAAGCCACACGCTTGTATCACGCCACTACCAGGGAACAATACGAGTCATCGATAAGATAAGACCCCATGCCTTCATCGGAGCGCGAGAATGTGTGACGTTCATTCCGCCTGCAACTGGTATAGTAACAGGACGCGACGCGCTACTTATCTTAATTAACTTACATTGTTCTCGTTGTTAATTTCATCTTGTAAATTGTTAGTAGTAAAAGTTGTTTGTTACATAGAAATAACATTACTTCATTCGAGTCAGTTAATTCTTATTCCTATCCTTCATTAGTATTCGTTAGTTTACAATATAACGTATTCGAACACAACGGTGGGGCGTGGTCTCCACATTCGGTCCCACATTGGTGACCCGTCGACAAAGCCGAAATAACGGTGAATTGTACCTACTACGCATCGTACGGCAGCAACGATTTTAGCTCCAAAACAACGTGGTGATAACAAAGAATAGGGCGTGGTCCAAGTCAACAAGGTGAGCGTATCATTATTTTTTTTATTTTGATATTGTGCTATGATGGACGAACCGAGTGTAGTCACCGATCAGAAAGATTTGACTCCCTCAGAAATTTTGAGAGTTGGTGTTAGAGTACCCCAATTCCTAGACGATGAGCCTGCCTTATGGTTCGCGCAAATTGAAGGCCAGTTCCTATTGTCCAGGATCACGAATGACGAGACAAAATTCTACTACGTAGCCGCGCAACTAGAACCTCCGTACGCTAGGGGAGTTAAGGATATTATTACTAACCCATCTAGAACCGATAAGTACCTAACATTGAAAACGGAACTAATATGTCGTCTTTCAGTATCGCAGGAGAAGCGCCTCTAGCAATTGCTCAACCACGAAGAGCTTGGAATGGAAGAACTAAGCTTTCTAGAAAGCCCCACACTCTGAACTTTCTGCACCTTGTCGGTCGGGGCCGGTATTTACTAGCATATTCTGGATGTTTCGGTGGAAAAGGCCTATATAAAGCCGCGATCGGGGCAGTATTGAGTTGGCGATTCGAGCGAAGCTTTCGGAGTGGAATAAAGTGAACTAAAGTGTTAAGTGTGATTATTAGTGTGATTTAAGTTTTAATTGGTGTTCAGTAATTAAAGTGTCAATTTTGGTAATTCAATCGGCAGTTTTTACTGTTACGATCCCTAAGCTCGTGACAATATTACAAGAAAGGGCTTGATCTGTACCTTCTTAACGTTATGATTTGGAAGTGAAAGTAGGAAAGGTTTGCAATATGACTTTATAATATGTTACTTACAGATATACAGT